TTACAGCTCATTTCTGCTGTGCTTTCTGTGCTCAGACTTGGAGGCATTTTGTGGTGGAGCCCATGATGGAATCCTCCTTTTGTTTTCTGGAGAACTGGCCTTTCCCAAAGTGTTATTTTGTCTCCTTGCCTGGCGTTGCCTGTCCTTGAACCAAGGCAGCATCGCCTGCTCCTCACGGGGAGCCTCCCTTGGGGTTTTAGGTACGGGGGATGATCTCGGGCTCTGCTCTGGGTGTTTTTATGGAAAAGGGTCCTTGCTGACCCCCATTTCCCCTTTCCACACTGGGAAGGAGCCCGTGTGAGGGAGCAGAAGCCATGAGTCAGCTGCTGGAGCTGCTCAGTGAGTCAGGGCTGGAGCCCAGGAGCCCGGGCTGAGTGGGAGGGAGGAGAAGTTTAATGAGCAGTGATTGTTCATTTGCTGCTTAGTTTCCTTCCAAGGTGCTTTTCACAGCCATTAATGTAAAGATCAGGACCCCACGGTGGGGATATCAAATGGAACACCAGGCTGGAGGGATTTGGGTTAATAAGGAGAGATGAGGAAGGGGTGAAGCTCCAGTTCCAGGCTGGGGATGGAAGGGGAACGAAGCTGCCAGAGGCAACTCGTGCTGTTTGTCATGGGGCTGATTTTGTAACCCAAGGCATGAAAATTCCATCACATGGATCTCTCCTAATGAAATCCAAGCTGGTGTGATTGCAGTATGCCCTTTTCCAAAGGGAGGGATGGGGCTGGAGCTTCCTGCTCGTCTCACTCAAAGCTCACTGCCCTCACTGCTGGGCCAGTGCTGGAAATCCCATTCCAGTGGGGATGAACTGCAGCTGGGAAGAGGAATTGGGGGTGGAATTGAGCCTGAGGCACTGGCAGAGCTGGCACAAAACCCCCTCTGGGCATCACAGCAGATGGGCACAAATGTGGGGACCAGAGATGCCACAGGAAAAACGGGGCTGAGAAGGACCCTGAGGTGTCTCCAGCTCCACTGTTCATGGCAGGGACAGCTCCCAGTGCCAAAATCCACTTCCCAAGGGCCCTCCCATGTCCCTGAGGGCACTGAAACAGGGCCCAGTGTGACAGATGTGGGAGATGCTCTCCCTGCCACCACCACTGGAGTTTTCCACCTTTCCTTCCTGGGCTTTTGCCCATCCTGAGGCTCCGGAGCTCTCACAGCAAGCAGGATATTGTGTTTGGGATCTTGCTGTGCTTCCCTGGACATTGTCAGGAGAATTGTCACATTTTTAAGAGGTAAACCATCCCAAACCCTGTCTCCCTGAGTGCTCCTCAATTGCTGGGTGTAGGCACAGATCCTGGGCTGCCAGCTCCCTGTGTGCCCTCGTGTCCCCTCCTGTCCCCTCCACACTCCTGGCAAGTGCAGTGGAGCTCTGGATCTGCTGCTGCTGCTGTTCCTTTGCTGGTTTTGTTCTTTACAAGAAAGGGGAGAGGAAATGGGGAACATTGTGCCTGCATTTGAGATTCTCTTTGAGGATTTCAGCCTTGTGGTGGGGTGGTTTTTGCTGTGGGTATCTATAGTAACGCTGCATCCAGCACACTTTTCTGGAGAGCAGCATTCCCTGTTTTCCTGCTCATATCATTATTTTTTTTTCCCAAACCCCTTTTCTGTGCTGCTCCCCAGCCCTGATGATCCCTGTGCTGTGGCACTGAGACATCCCCATGGCTTCCTTGCCTCCTTGCTGCTCATTTGTGAGCGTGAGGGTGGTCAGACCATCCTTGGTACGGCACTAAAGCATCCACAGATAAATAATCTATTGATAAATAGATTGATGGGCAGGGATAACCCATCCATGGATAAACCATGCAGATGCTGAGCAGGCCAGAGGTGTGCTGTGCAATTATTTACCCTCAGGTGGGATCACAGGCCGTAATTTATCTTAATTATTGTAGTCCCTGGGGGAAGAAGTGCCACCCATGGGGAGATGGACACCAAAGGGAGTGGGTGTTTTCTTTTTTTTTAAGGAGAAAGGATGGAAGGAAAGGGAAAATAAATGCCTTTCATGCCTTTCCTTCATGGGCAGGGAGCCCAGCCAGTCCTGCATGGCTCCAGTGGGGATGCAGGATGCTCCCTTAGGATGGGGGTGGTTTTCCCCATTCCCAGCCCTGCTGCCCCCTCAGGGCACCCTCCTGGCCCTCTGGGATTTGGGGAGCTGCAAGCAGAGGCTCCTGCAAGCACTGACTTTGCTCCTCTGCCAGGAGCAGCACAGGAATGACTCATGAGCTGCCAGCTCGGGGAAAGGCAGTGGTGGCTTTTTCATGGAAAAGCTTTTCCATGGAAAACAGCCTGGGCTCAGCCCCACCTCACTGGGATGCACCCAGGGCTGGGAGAGCTTCACCTGCCCAAGGTGGGACATTTCCCATGCTCGGGGTGTGGGAGTCACTCCTGGCCTTGTCTGTCTGGTGGGGCAGGAGGTGGCAGAGCTGCTCAGTGTCCCAGGCAGGGTCACCCTGGGAGATGCCAGCCCCAGCAGTGCCTGAGATCCTCAGGAAGGAGCTGTGTGGGAAGCAGGCTTCTCCCAGCCACACAAGGGAGGGGTGAGGAAGAGCCTCCATGGCTGGGCAAAATGCAGCCCCAGCAACTCTGAACAATCTTGCTTCAGTCGCTGATGACTCTGATGTTTTAATGGAAGAGTCATTAGGGTGGTTGCTTGCTTTTCCAGCAGTGCCTGGGCTGGGATGTGCATTTAGGCACAGAGACTCACACCCTGAGCTGCCCTGGCCGGGCTGTGCCC